ATTGCCTTCTGCAGGAATATCTTGCATTCGGAAAGGCACTGCGTGCGGGCTTAAATTCGAATTAATCTTCTCGTTGTGAAGAGAACGGTGGTGGTTCTTTTTGCATTTGTCGCAGGTAGTACCGTCTGGCTTCCTAGAGTCGTTCGTATGATGTGGCCTGAGACATTTCCGGCATCTTTTGCTCTGTTTGACTACGTCCCATCTTTGATTTACAGTTGAACTTTGATACAACGGACAGGCCGCTAACTTGTGTTTCGACGTACAACCGAGTGGACACACTTCTTGCTCAGGGGTTCTATCATTGTTAGCTGCGTGGTTATCTGTTCTTCTAAAGGTTGGTCCTCGGTGGGTACGTTCTTTTTCGTCGGCGCTGTCATTGTCTCGTTTGCCTCTGGAGCGGAGGGTTGCCTCGATGCAACCAGGTTACGAGGTTTGACACATTTTCTTCCTTTCTCGCTCTTTGCAGAAGAAACCTTTCGGCATTGCTTTTCGGAATCTTTGAAGTTGCTCATCTTTGTCTTGTCCATATTTTGCCATAGAGTGTCTAAACTCCTTTTTCCACGTCTGATCGTTCTGCGACTTCCGTCCCAGATCGGAACTGTCAATCGCTCAAGGCTGCTGGGTTTCGATCCCATTGCTACGGCCATTTTCTCAACTGCAGAACTCATCGTTTTCAAGGTTTCTGTGTGGTCAGGAACATTCGGATGACTATTTTCGCTTTGATACGCTGCGTATTTCAAGGCGATTTGGAGAAAATCAGCTTTGACTTTGTCCCCGAGTTTTCTGTTCATTAACACCAATTCATCTTCCGATGAAGCGCCTTCCTCAATTAATTTGTCCGAGATCACCTCTTGCTGCTTTTTAACAGATCTGTACTTTGATTCCACTAAATTGAACACTGTTTCAAGTCTTTCAAGTCCCGGTCTTATAGCGAAGATGGTTTCAAATTCTTCCATTAGCTCCATAAGAATTCCAACGGCATTGTTCATTTTTCCCGTAAGGGTTTTTACATCAACTTTCGGCGGCATTGCGAAGTGAATTTGAAGTGATAATTAAGTTGTTGTTCTTTCACCAAAGGTTTAGACTGAAATATTTTCTAGAACGGTCAGTCGCTCGCTTTTGGGCAGTCGGTTGTTCTGGAAAATGGTGCGTTTCTCTCGTGAATTTAAATGACCCGGCTGTAGCGGATTCCAAGGTCGATCGGTCGCTTGTTTCGCTATCAGTTGTTCTTCAAAACCGGTAGTTTTGCCACACGATGCTGTCCTTCGGGATCTTGAAGTCGATGGCGTAACCTTCAATTCGTAGAATTTTTGACTGATTCGCGCTTTCGTTTTGAAACGTTACTGTAGCTTTGAAGGTTACAGATGTATGGTGACCCGTTTATTTTCGTACTAGTTGCCAGAGGAAGCAAGTCAAACTAAAAAACAAATACAGATTTTTTTAAATATAGAATAACATTTGAGAGTTCAATGAAATGTAACTTACAACTCGTAGGGCATTCCATACATCTTATAGATCTTTACGTTATATCTGGCTGACCGTTATTTTAAATGTTAGATTCGTCGCGTCTTTAAATAAAAAGAGGGGTTGGTCCCCAGACTCCCTGGGACAACGCTCTGGCGCCAAAACTATTAAACACTAAGTGCAAATCAGAAGCAAAACAAAACAAAATTAAAGCGGACAGCTCACCTTTGAAAACAGGACGTGTCTTCTTTACTTATGGTGTAACTAATGAAAACAAAATTAAGAAAGTGAAATCAGATTTGCATCCCACCTAGTCAGTAAGATAAGTTCAAGAACCGAAGAGGTAGCATTTAATTTATCAGAATTTTGTTTTCATGGAAGTGATTTGAACAGTTTAAACCTCAGTGGTGACGCGGAACACGTAATTCGATGTATCATTCAGTAAACAGGCAATGAACGAAGGAAAACCTTATCAGCTGAGGGTGTTTTCTTATATAACACCAACTTCTCTCTACTAACTATCAAAGTAATGTATAGGAGCTAGAAGGAAGAATTCCTGGTAAGATCATAGAATTCAAAGGGTTAAAATAACGCAGACCCTTAAGTTTTTGCACTCATTCAAATCAAAAATTGGGTCGGATTTTGTGGCATCAAGTCTTCACAATTTTTTTAAATTCTTCTGATCATTACTTTACACCTCCCCTATAATTTAGAATAACATAAACATTGCATTTTTGTTCCTTTTACATCAGATCTTCCTGTCCTTAAATCTGTTTTATGTATGTGTCTTCTTCAACTCTTTTACTATCTGACTGTTCAACTTATAACTTCTCCCTACATTACCAATATGATGTTCAGCCAAGAGTTTTGGAGAATAAAGAAACTTATCAGCTGGATAATTTATTTTCTAAACGTATTTGCGGCAGTGACATCTATAGCAATTAGAAATGAGACTTAGTAATTCGATCTTGAAGTTAAAGGCCTAATGTTGAGTTAATTGGCTTATTTTGAGGATTGTTATAAGTTTAAGTCAACTTTGTTTTTGTGCAATAAATTTTCATTGATGATCTTTGTCGTTGACAACAATGCTCAGTCAAAAAAAGAGGGAAAGATTGATTCAAAGAATGTTTTACTATTATTTACCCAGCCAGAAAAGTGTCATGTTTAGTATTCTGATCGTATAATTAATGAAACTAAAAGTAAGAAACTGAAATTAAACTTTTTGTGCAAAACATAGGGATGATATCGTAATGCACTGAAATTGCTACTGTACGAATGAAGAGACAAATTGATTAAAAATCAATGGAAAAAAAGCACTAAACCAAAATGTGAATAAAGGATAACAAGTGTAAAGATTAATTCGTTTGGGAGAAAAGTCGTTGAGAAAATCTAAAATCAGGCGATCGCTCTCCATATATCCCTATAATTTAAACGCACCAGATTAACATATTCAACAGAAAAGATTTTCTCACCTTGCATTGAAATGAAATTTTGCAATAGTGTGCGATTTGTCCGTACGCTGCACTACCACTAACACTGAAAAACCTTCAGGTAAGCACGACAGCGGAGAAACAAAATTCGGCGAGATCAAACAGTCATTTCATGAGAAGGAGAATGGCTGCCCATCTGCTGTACATTTTTATGAAGAAAAAAAAGTTACAATTTCGAATGCCCATATAGTACCCATTTCTTACATTGGGAACGCTATAGTTAATAACAGTTTCAGAGAATCAATGTAATTTTTTATACACGCATACTTACTTGCCAAGAAGACCATTAAAATTAAAAATTAAATTCTAACAATCATATTGGTCATAAAAAAATAACTAATCATAACATTTGCTTACTTGTTTTCCCGGAACGCGAGCATTGAAAACTTTATGTCTTTTTTCTAGAAGATTTTGCTTGATAACAAATCTCTTTCAAAGCTGATATCGTTGTGATATGTTTTTCAAAATATTTAGTTTTTCTACCTCTGTTACAAAGCGCGTGCTTGCATGCAGCATCACTTCGTTGTTTCGTTGTTGTTTGCTCTTTTTCTAATCCCCAATCACTCTAAAAGAAGGCTTGATTTTTTTCCTAATCGAATAAGAGGCCTGCTGTAAGAATAAATCTCTCTCCTAAAAACTGTGATTTGTTTGAAACAATTATTTCAACAGATATTCTGGATATTCTGTCAAAACAATTTCTTCTCCTCGAACAGCCAGTGCAATAGGGTATAAATGCCTCTTTTCAATCGTTCGATTGGCAATTATCGAGAGATTATCTAGCTCCGAAACGCTCGTAAATTATTATAATTCTGATAATGATCATGGTGCGCTCAATCAAAATGCCGAAAACTAACAAAGCTTTGTGTCACTGATTGTACGTGAGGCACGAGGTACTACTCTTGTAAATAAAACGCCTTACTCGTGAAAAGAAATTGATTGAAAATGTGCTTTTTGGATTAAAAATGTATTCCATGGCATCTGTATTGCATTGACTTCATTGCGATTACTTACTTGCTTTATCCTTTTCTTGTGTGTC